ATTTATTCATTACCAATTATTAGAATCACCTTCTCTAAATCTACAAAATCCTTACTGGTAGATGCCATGGTTAATTCATCTCTTTGTCCTCCATAGCACCCATTAAAATGTCTTGCACACAGTAAACACTCAATAAGGCCTCTCTGGTATATATTTGTTTATTCATTAACCAAATAACTTTCTAGGTGATAGGTACTCTTCTGGACATTGGGAGATTTAGTGGCAAAGTCTGGCAAGGTCCCTGCCCTCTATGAACTTACCCTGGCTTAGAGGAGACAATCAATGAACAAGTGAACACAGTAAATTGAGATAATGAAAAACATGACAAAGAAAATAGAAGGAAACAGTAACACCCAATAAGGAGGTAGACATTAGGGAGTTACTTCAGCAAGGGTAGTCAGACAGGCCTCTTTGAGGTCCTGACATTTGATTTAAACATGGAAAATGAAAAAAAGCCAGAGTTATGAACAGTTAGCTAGAGGAATATTCTAGGTAGAGAGAACATCAAGTTAAAAGACCCAGAGGCAAGAAAGAATTTGGTGTGTTGGGAGAATAAAAAAAAAGGGAGCCAGGCCAGTAGCCGGAGCACAGAAGGAAGGCAGGAGAGTGGAGGAATAGGGAGGTAGTCTGAGTCAGGTCACTAAGGGCTTTGCATACTACTGTGAGGAGCTGAAGTTTGTTCTAACTGTGACAGAGGGGGATTTTAAAGAGCAAAGTGACAGAGATCTGGTTTATAGTTTAATAAGACCATCTTGAATTCCTTGTGGAGAATGCACAGGGGGAGGAAGCACTAAAGCAGTGAGGCATGAATAAATATTTGTAGTGCAGACTGAAGATCTGAATCTAGATTACTGAGTGATCATAATGTTATCAGACACATACGTCAGAGTTTACTGTTTCCAAACCTAATTCATTGAGCTTTCTGGCATCAAGTCTTCTTCATGAATTTCGTGTATCTCTTTATGCACATCCAAAATACATGTGTCACTACCCAGAGTCATCAGAGAGGTCACCCAGAGCTCTGGGCAGCTCGTGATGTTTTGTCATACATTTGGGGAGCTTCTGAATCTTATTCTTTTTCTAGGGAATTTAGATGCACTTCCTATCATCCCAGTGTCACTCTAACTAAAGCTCTCATTACTCTCTTTTTTTGGCTAAACACTGCTGGCTTTGGGGCACTTCACATACTTCCTGCCATTAAGAGGAATCCACTTCAAACACAGCTCTTGTTAGAAGGAATATTTTATGTGGGCAGTGTCCCATTCCATGCATCCCAAGTTGAGGAAAAGATAGAGAACGCTGGGCTGGGAATCAAGAGACTTGGCTCTATTTTCCCTTTGACTATAACTCATTGTCTGACCACTCCCCTTCTCTTTGCCTCAGTTTCCATACTTGTAAAAGAAGAAGATTGCATTTGATGAGTTGGAAGGTAAATGTTTCTTTGCTGGTTCTCTAGAATGTGCTTCCTTGTGTCCTAACCATTCTTGCTCATTATTGTGCTTTCCTCTGTATTCTTCAGGGCTATAGAAGTAGGCCTGTGTCAGGGGTCTTGGCATATTACACTGTGCTTTAGCATCTGCAACAACTCTTCGCAATAATTCTCAAATTTTTTTTCCATCCAACTATCTAGCCAGTGAACCATACACTCATTTTTTAATTGCAGAAATACCCTTAGCATGGGTATTGTGCATGAGATACTATGTTGAGTGGTAGGGAATCAATACATAGAGGATACAGTCTCTGTACTTAAGGGCTTTGAGGTTAAGGGGAAGAGAAAGACAGACACATCCACCCACAAGCATAGTGTAGTGCGATGAATGCTACAATGTGGAGCAGCTTAGGATATGGAGGATGTGCACAGAAGATGCCCACATTAGAGCAACCCAGGGACAGACTCCTGAATGAGGTGAACTCCAGGCTCACTACTGAAAACATAGAAGGAATGAACTAAGTGAATGGGGAGGAAAGAAGAGAATGTATGTGACCATGAGCCAGAGGTGCTTAGTCTGTAAGGAGTTCAGCATGGCTAGATGGCAGAATGAGAGGGGCAGGAGCCAAGGCTGGAGGTGTAGGCAAAGAGCAGATCATGTGGGGCCTTATATATATAATGCTAAAGAGCCAGGATTAATGAAGGGATGAGGGAGGAAGGAAATCCTCAGTGTATACTGGACTGAGTGCTATGGCAATGTGCAGGGTACAAGTGAAGTGTCAGGCACAGTGCCTGGCACCTAGGAGGCATTACAGCTTTGTAGTAAAAGTTGCAGGTTCCCTGGGTACCCAGAGTTAGGTCTGAAATCCACCTTCACCACTTTTCAGTCATGTGACCTGAAGAATTTTTTTTAATCTCAGCAAGAACCATTTTTTTCTTTTGTATTAGGATTGTTGGAAGGATTAAATGAGATTATATATGTAGAGCTTTTAATGTCATATTTGCACTTACGAAAGATTCAGTAAATGTTAACCATTATTACAAATAAATGCTATTCTTTCCTATTCTTCCTTCCTCTCTCCCTCCCTCCCTTCCTTCTTTTCTTTCTTCCTTCCTTCAATTCAGAGACTCTTAGATTAACATATAAAACTAAGATTGAAACAATCATGCGGCCCAAACCCGTGCATGTCCCCAATATGTATAATAATGGCACATCATTTATTTGGTTCAGGGTGTCTACATGTTGGTCTGTTCAGCTAGGCTTGTTCACAATGGGATGACTCAAGTGTGCAGAGATGAGAGTGGAAAGAAGACAGTCAGGCCCAGGAGTACTGGAGGCTGAAGGGCCAACTTAAATCTTCCCTTATGCTAATTCTATCATGGAGACAGAGGACCAAACTCCACCCAGTTCACATGGATGGTTTACCTGGCCTCACGGATGGGAGAGGATTAGAGTGGTTGAAGGCATGGGTTCCCAGCCAGCCCTGGGTATTCATCCTGGCCCTGGCCTTTATTGTCTATATGAGATAGGCAAGTTATTTAACCTTTGGGACGTTGCTTTCTTTATGCCTAAAATGAAGATGATTATGATCCACTCACAGTTACCTGGAGATAGTGCGAGAGAAACGTGTAGTGGAATGTTTAACAGAGAGGGAACTTCCACCATATGGTGTGTTATTCTTCTTAATATTCTTAATGTTATAATTTTTAGTAGTATGTGTATCGGAGCTATTATTAGTAGGGACATGAATGTATTGTTAGTGTTATCTAACAATACTGTTTAGTGTAAGTGTTAGTAATTATTTTATCTCATCTTAAGTGTTCTTGCTAGTGTTCTTATTACTTATATTATTCAGTAAAACAGAAGATAAAAATACTTATCATCAAAGTCTGTATATATGGGCCATTGTTCCCTTGGTGAAGACCAACAGCTGGCAAGCTGAGATGGATCAGGAAATTCCAAAATATCAGATGGTTTCATCTTCTCTACAAAGTCAAGCCTCAGGAAACCAGACTTGAGTCTGCTGTCGTACCAGAAATCATTAGGGTGGTCTTTTTGGGGGCTTGGGGCTAGAAAGAGAACTGGCAGATGTGCTGTCTGGGTGTGTGGGGGCAGCTGCAGGTGGGCAGCCCAATCGTGGTCCACCCAGATTCATGACACCTGCCCAAATCAGAGGGCGCTGTTCTTCACAAAGACACTTTCCCTGGGAGGAAAGAGCCAGGGAACTCCTAAAGGAGGAATGAGGGGCAGGGCTTGGCTGTCCGGGTCAGGAAGGATTTGTAGGGAAACAAACAAACTAGCTCGTGAGACATCAGAGGGAATTATCTTTAGGACAGGCTTGGTTTAACTCATTTTTCCATGCGGTTACATTTTATTGGTGCTTGCTGGGTGACAAATCATCCATTTTTAGCTTTTATTTAGCTTCAGTCTTGATCTTATGAGTTACGAATGACTAATACCCAAAAGGGTATGACCCTGGAGCAAAGCATGTGGGGGAAGCACATTTCTGGGTGCATGTTCTCTCTGTGCCTGGAGACACAGATTCAAATAAAAGTCAAGACTACTGTCCTACTAGGGGCCATTGCTTTGGAAAGTAAAACAGATAAATCTGCTTCAAGAGAGAAGAGAGTAGTAAATTTAACTGGAGCTTTCAAACAATGTTTAGTCCAGAGCTAACAGGCTCAAAATCAAATAAGTATTTAAAACCAGTGGCCAAAAAACAAAATTAGGCCTTTAGTGGGTATCACTTTTGAGCCTCACTGGTGCAGAAGAACAAGGGTAAGGGATGAGAGATCTGTTCTTGCTTCATTCCTTTAATGGTCAGTCAGTCTGTTGAGGGAGAAAGCTAATCTTCTCCCATCCTTTTCTGACTGTTTTTGTTGTCTAGATTCATACCCATAAGAGGTCAACCCTCTATGGCTGAAAACAAGGGAGTATACCGAGCACCTTGTTGAGAACTTCACATGCACAGGCTGTGATGGGCTAACTCAGTGGTTAACCCTATCTGTGGGGCCAGTTTGTTCCTCAGGGATCCTGGGAAGAAAGCATGTTTCTTAGCATCTCCCATTTTACAGATGAGCAGTTTCCCAAAGAGTTTGGTGATCACACATTAAGCTAGCGACAGAGCCAGAACATGAACTAGAGTCTCCGAAGTTCTAGAGTCTATACTGTAATTGTTTGAGCATCCAGGGATTTTTTCCAATTTTTCAAAAATTAGAAAATTGTTCAGTGACCAAATTGCATCTTGCTCTACTTCTCTTGACCTGTGGGTTCAGATGTCCCCATCTCCTATTTCTGAGCCACAAAGAATTGCCAGGTGACTTTTCAATAGGCTTCGTAAAAGCAGGTGTGTAGGAGTTTACAAAGTGGGATGTTTCAGCAAATCATCTGTTGCCACCATTTGCTTCCTTAGAGTCCAAGTATGTTGATGCATGAACAAAGCTTACCCAATATTTTAAAGAATGGAAAACACATTCAGAGAGGAAGAATGGATTGCTCAAGGATACGCAGCTGTTGTGACACACTGCGAGCCTTTAAATGTCCTCCAAGAACTGATAAATAGCTGATAAAGGAAGTTCAGGGAGAAAAGATAAGAAAAAGAAGTATGCTTTATTATGAGGCAATCTCTGTCATTTTCTATCTGTGCAGCCTCAGGTACGTCTTTTAAATTCTTTGACTTTTAGCTTCTACCTGCGTTAAATCGAAATAATAGAACCTACTCCATAGGGTATGTGAGGATGAAATGATGCTATGCATGAAGTCTCTGAGTACAGGGTCTGGCCCGCAGTAGGAACTCCAGATGTAGGAGCTGTAATAAAGCATTCTCAGGTCAGAAGTATGGCAAGAGAGAGTGAGTTTCTGAGGTAGGGATGGGGCTGGAGGGAGCTGAGGGGGGAATTCATGTCTGTGTATTCCCACACTCAGTTTTTTTTTGGGAAAGCAGAGGGGTGAACATAACAGGAAAGGGAGCATGTCCTGGAATAAATTATCTATTGTTGCCCACATGTCACTCTGGTAATGAGGAAACCCCCTGAAATCAGTTTGTCCACAGCTCCAGATATGAATCTCCAGGAATTTCAGTGCCAAGTTCAGGGGTTCCAAAAAGGATCCAGGGATACGGTGGTCACAGGTCGGAACATTTATTTCTTTGGGAGTCTTCCCTTGTGGATGTTCTCAGAGCTCTGGATTAACTAGAAGGGATCTTCACGTAGAGCTTGGTTTTGGAGGGCCTTTCCCTTCTACCTTGCTCCTGTTTATCTTACTCCCATCATATGGCAAGATGCCAAATTTCCTGTTAAATCAACTGATTAGACTCTGTGAGATTTATAAATAGCTTCTAGAAACCTTTTCTGAAACTCCCTTAAGATTTCTTTACTCTCCTTAATAAGGACAGACTGCAAGAGAAAAGAGAAAAAATTTGCTAAAGGCAAATTGATGGAGTTGAACCAGGTGAACAAACAGACCACAGATCAAAATCATAGTGTAAGTGGGAATTTGGGATGGTGGTCTGCTTAGAAACTTGAATTTTCTAATTTCAAGTTCATAAATGAAAGAACAGATGATCACTCAGACAGGATGTAGTTTAGATTTGGCTCCTTCATGATAATGATAATTTTTCCATATCAAACAATAAGTACTATTAATAGAACCATAAGGAGAAAATAACCTTGTGTGAAAGAAGACATTTTTTCGAACGTATTTAGAAACTCTTTCAATTCTAAGCAGCTTCAAACAATCCTTATCTGTTTATGGCAATTAGTCATACATTTCTCACCAATATCCTTGACACTGGTGTCCTCTAGTTAAGGGTTAACATTTAAATTCCAGGGTAGAGTTGAAGCAGGTTTGTTCTCCTCTAGGTGAGCAGACTTTACATGAGGACACAGACTCACAGAGGATGGACAAAACACAAGAAAGCTTCAATCTCCAATGCCACCTCCTGGCGCTCACTTGAGATGCAACCAGAGAGGTAAAAGGAAGATGCTTAGCCAAAAGCAGGCCTTAAGGGTGACTATTTCCTGTTTCTTACCAGTCCATACAAGACTGAGCCTCGTAGTTCAAGCTGACTGCATTGGTGGGCAGTGTAGGTGGAAATGTCAGACATGAGGATTCTTTGTTTCCTGACCAGATGGGAGACAACTTTTCCAACAGAAGGTAATCTCCAGGAATTTCAGTGCCAAGTTCAGGGGTTCCAAAAAGGATCCAGGGATACGGTGGTCACAGGTCGGAACATTTATTTCTTTGGGAGTCTTCCCTTGTGGATGTTCTCAGAGCTCTGGATTAACTAGAAGGGATCTTCACGTAGAGCTTGGTTTTGGAGGGCCTTTCCCTTCTACCTTGCTCCTGTTTATCTTACTCCCATCATATGGCAAGATGCCAAATTTCCTGTTAAATCAACTGATTAGACTCTGTGAGATTTATAAATAGCTTCTAGAAACCTTTTCTGAAACTCCCTTAAGATTTCTTTACTCTCCTTAATAAGGACAGACTGCAAGAGAAAAGAGAAAAAATTTGCTAAAGGCAAATTGATGGAGTTGAACCAGGTGAACAAACAGACCACAGATCAAAATCATAGTGTAAGTGGGAATTTGGGATGGTGGTCTGCTTAGAAACTTGAATTTTCTAATTTCAAGTTCATAAATGAAAGAACAGATGATCACTCAGACAGGATGTAGTTTAGATTTGGCTCCTTCATGATAATGATAATTTTTCCATATCAAACAATAAGTACTATTAATAGAACCATAAGGAGAAAATAACCTTGTGTGAAAGAAGACATTTTTTCGAACGTATTTAGAAACTCTTTCAATTCTAAGCAGCTTCAAACAATCCTTATCTGTTTATGGCAATTAGTCATACATTTCTCACCAATATCCTTGACACTGGTGTCCTCTAGTTAAGGGTTAACATTTAAATTCCAGGGTAGAGTTGAAGCAGGTTTGTTCTCCTCTAGGTGAGCAGACTTTACATGAGGACACAGACTCACAGAGGATGGACAAAACACAAGAAAGCTTCAATCTCCAATGCCACCTCCTGGCGCTCACTTGAGATGCAACCAGAGAGGTAAAAGGAAGATGCTTAGCCAAAAGCAGGCCTTAAGGGTGACTATTTTCTGTTTCTTACCAGTCCATACAAGACTGAGCCTCGTAGTTCAAGCTGACTGCATTGGTGGGCAGTGTAGGTGGAAATGTCAGACATGAGGATTCTTTGTTTCCTGACCAGATGGGAGACAACTTTTCCAACAGAAGGTCCCAGCAGATGCAAAAACAGCGGCACTGATGTGTCTCCAGGTGCCTTGGCTGTCCTTAGAGAAAGCCGTCAATCTCACTCTGTAGGGCCTCTCCATGGGACCGACTAGATGCAGTCTGGCTCTGATCAGGGGTAGCTAGGCAAGCAGTGGACAGGCCCTCAGGGGATTGTCTCAGGGATCCCCTAGCAATCTGCAAACAGAGATCCAATCAGAGCAACGTATACTTTCTGTGCAGGAAGTACAGTAACTAAACCATATCCCTAGACAATGTTAATTAGTACTTCTGTTGTTAAAAGTATTTCCCTTTATATAATCTTGTGTAATGTCTCAATGTTTATGACAATGTTTATAACAAAAGTTAGATATAATGGTGAAAATACTCGTTTAGTAGGAGAGAAAATGGAGTATTGCTGAAGCAAAGTGAATCTACCCATGTCCAGAACTTAAGTGTAAATCCTGGGACTTGGAACCTTTTTTGAAAAATGGATCCAATCTCAAAGCCTTTTCCCTAGGTTCACTGATTCCATTCAGTTACATAATTCTCTAAGTCACTCATTCATTCCTTCAGCAAATATGAATTGAGTACCTGCCACATTGTAAGCACTATTCTACGCTCTTGGGTCATGTCACAGGACCAGATACACAGAAATAGAATATCTAGAATAAAATACGTGCAATGTCTCCCTGATCACCAAACATGTGCAACATGACATCCAACTCAGGGTCTTATTGTCCAGGGGGGACACACAGACAATACAGAATAATCATACCACTAGTTTAAATACTAGATACAAGGTCGTAAGTTACGTAGAAGGAAAAGAGCAGAGTAAAGGGGATCAGAGGCACTGGGTAGAAGGACAACTAAAATTTTAAATAGAATGATCATGGTCGACCTCACTGAAAAGGTAAATTTGAGTTTGAAGGAGGTAAGGGCTGGAGTCATGTGAGGGAGTTTTCCAGACAGAGTTCATGGCGAAGGAAGACACTCTAAGGGGCCTGGCTGGTTGGACCACGTGAGGGAGGGGAGATGCAGCACAGCTGAGGTCGGCGAGAAAATGGGGGCCAATCATGTGGGGCCATGCAGGGCACTGTGATGACTTCCGCGTTCACTCTGCAACGGATGTAGAGCCTCTGCAGAGTTTTGAGCACAGAAATGGCATAATCTCCTTGTGATATTAAATGATTCTGTTGCCTGATGGGTTGAGATTAGTCTGAAGGGGGCAAGGATCAAAGCAGGAAATCCAAAGAAGGTGTGAGGCAGAGACAATGAAATATGCGTACAGAAGTTTCAAGTTTATCGTAGGCACACTCTCCTTAGACATTCCCCGTTCTTGTTTTGCAGTGACGTGAGCACGATGCAACTGATCCAGAAGTGAAGGCACCGTTTTAGGGACTGGCCCTAAAATCTGACATGTGATATTCTAAACATTGCCCCTTCTGCAGCACCCAGGGAGACCTCATCTTGAGGATGGGAGCGCTGTAAGATGGAAGGAGCCCAGCTTCTCAACGACAACACAGAGTAGGACCACTTCCTCCCACACCAACCTCATTGCACAGCGACCTGAGTATGTTTGGAAACTATGAGAAAGACCAAGAGTAATACTTTCACGAATCCCCAATCCCTCCCTGTTTCAGCCTTGCTACCGAGTGACTGTTGAGGTTCACTTCCTGCTGTGATTTTCCAAAGCACGGAGAACGGCACACAGGTTGGCTGCACCTCTTCTCCCCATCTTACTAACAGCTGCTCAAAACGCGACCTGTGTATTATTAGGTTCTTCAGCATCACAGCACATGTCAGGACCTGACCTGGGACCCCCATGGGAGAGAATCTCTAAATCACCACAGCGCCGGAGGTGGAAAATAAGACAACAGCACAACAATAACAAAAGTAATCAAAATTAAATCAGATTTCCTTTTCGTTTTTTCTTAAAAGGATACTGAATTTTTGGCAAGGTTTCCTTTACAGTGCAGCATTTTTATTGTTGGTTAGAATTCTTTTTGAAATAGGACATTATTCACTACAGCAATCCCTGAAAAATATATAAACTTCCCACCACTACTCCAGCTCATCTATTGCCTTTTATCTGTCAATTCTGTGATGTTTTATTAAATATCATTTATTAGAAAATTTCCAAAGTCAGAAAACTAACTAGCCTAAGCATAGGCAGACTGAGCTTTTCTCAAGGATACTAGCATGTTCTCCCTTGCACACAGGAGAGGGGAGCGGGGACTACGGTGGTCCTGCCGGGTCCCGCTCGGGAGCATCATGGGGAGTGTCTCCTCAGCCTCGTTGGGGCCACTCTCAGCGAGTTGGTGGCTGAAGGGCAGGGAGGATGAGTGTCATCCCCGTCTGACTAGCGGGTGAAAGGCTCAGAGAGGTGATCTGACTGCCACGATGCCCCACTGCCCCGCAGAGCCTCTCCGGATGGAGGCACAGGGGCACCACCGAGGACTCCCCATCACCGCAGGCGCGGCTCCCTTTCAAGCGGCTGAGGCTGGAGGCTGAGGAGCACCTCAACACCGCCCCAGGCCAACTGCAAGAAGCATGGCAGCAGAGCAGTTTAGGAAACCGGCTTTGGATGCAGCCAGAACTGGGGGTGGGGCCTGCTCGGGTCACTTTCTAGGTGTAGTCCTTGACTATGCTGCTTAACCTTACTCTTTGTGTCCTTAAATATCAGTAATGGCTAAAAAACATTTAGCGCAATACTCTGGCTTACCGTAAGTGCCCGAACTACCGCGGCTTACCCGTGTAACAGGTCATCCTTACAAGAGGTCATGCTAGGGCCATTGCAAGGTCTGCTGACAGGAGGATCCCGAGAGCACTGTTCGGTCCGACTGGAGGTCTGTGAAATATCACATTTCCTTATGGCCCCAGCATCTGCCAAATGCTCTCAAAAGGCAGTGACTGAGTCCTCCTTGTGTCAGGTCAGAGCCTAGCTGGGCAAGGAGAGTTCTTCGGGGGTTCAGATAAGAAGGGTGGGCGGGTTCCTGAAGGCAGAGAGGGAACCACTCTGGGCATCTGCTGTCTTGCCTCCTTTCACACTCCTGTGGGTGTGAGGGAACAGCAGCCTTGTCCTCTGCACACATCCTGCCAAGGGCAGGGGGGCACAGACGGCAGAACAGGCTCCTGAGAACCAGGGCTGCAGGGATCTGACTGACACCTGCCAGTTACCCACTCTAGGCAGGGCCATGCATTTGCTCTCAGAGGCAGTGCAAAAAATAACTAAGAAAACAAACAAAAACCAGTGTTTTTTATCTTCATCTCTGTAAGCTCTTTCTGGCCTAACTGCCAGAAAAGACTGGCCCTGAAGATTTCATTTATTACTGTTTCTTACAGGGAATAGAGTGATTTCCACTGGATCCCTAAGTAAGCTGATGGGAGAAGGGGGAGTAATAAATTATAAGCATGTGCTTTGTGCTGAACACTAACATGCATCTTACTTCTGTATCTTTAATTTCATTAAATCTTGACAAACGGGGGCTAGCTCCTTCTTAGAGAGAAGGGAAGTGCATTTAGAAAATTACATGGATAAAAAGTGTTAGAGCCCAGAATCTACCCCAGGTTTGTCTACTCTGGTCTCTTAACTGCCCTCATCTCTCTATTACATCTCCAGATGTAAGAGCGTGTGGCATGTGGTCCTACCTTACCCAGAGACTGTTGGGTGCTTGCTGATAGGACTCTTGGGCAAGGGCCCACACCCAGAGAGCCAGTGCCCGGCCTCAGATTGTGGAGGAGGGGAGGGTGCACATCTGTTAGTCTTTAGCAGCATCACTGGGAATCTGGCAAGGAGTCAGGATGGAGCCAGTGTTCTTCCCTGTGTGTGACCTGTGGCCGGCAGCAGCCAGCAGCAGAGAAACACACTGACGTCCCGGGGAGGCCTCTGATGAATGACAGCGCTCTTCCCCGATGGCTCCTCCTGCCCAGCCCAGCGTGGAAGGAGTGAGGTGAGTGGTGTGGCCAGAGAGACAGTCTCTACAGGTCACTTCCTTGTGTGTCCAGTGTGTTTGGGCTTTTGCTGCTGTTTCCTGCAGGCAGGGAGCTCTGTCAACTGGCAGGCAGGACCCTGCTACGGTGGAGGTAGCTCTGTGTCTGATTATGCTCAGGACTGCAGAGGGGCTTGGTAATATACTTGGCTTAGGAATTATATTTTAAAATATGTCATCACATGATCCTGTGAGACAGATAGGATCATCCTCATTTTACAGAGAAAAAGACAAAAGTGGGGCCCAGAGAGGTTTGCTTGTGATTTCCCTGCAGATTTTGGACTAGAAACCAAGTCTCCTGATTCCTGGGCCAGTGTGTGTTCCAACATGGGATCTTGGGCATAGTATTAAGAGATTTAAAACTCTCCTTCTTCAAGGCTTGGACAAAGGCTCCAAGCATGCACTTTCACCTAAGTGGAGAGTCAATTCCAGTCTGATAATTTAAAGAATTTGAAATGATCCACAGTTTATGAGCCTCCTTTCCCTGTGTTCTTCTTATAAGCAGATAAATATTCTAACTTGCTTACTTCAAATACAGGCTCAAAAAAAAAAAAAAGGGATTATCCATGTTAATGCTTTGGGAGATATGGAAAGCCACACATATGAAGATAGGTAGGGTAGTTCAGTAATCAATCACATCTTCCAAGGTCAGAAGTTGAACAGTATTGAACATTTATTTTAGCTACAAACTCAGGTATTTGAAAAGACTCCTGAAAATGGAAGTACGCTTTTCAAGAAGTTACAGCCCCCAAACAAGGTGCTTTACTGCCCAGCACAAGCCAAAGCTTGTGGATTATCATAAGGCCTTGCACAAAGGAAGCAAAATAAACACACGTAGATGGAATTTGATGAACAAAGGTGCAAACCCTCTGGCTCTCCTGCGGGGTCTCACAAAATCTTATTAAACACACATTACACAGCAAGCTTGATTATTTGCTCTTTTTTTTCATTCTCTAGCAGATTAAAAATAAGCGACTTGGAAGAGGAATTGTCAGAAACAGTGAAAATGTCAACAGAAGACTTGACAGCTTGAGAATAGAGAAGTTAAAAATAAAAGCAAAGCAGACAAACAGCTTCCCAGCAAAATGGCACTGGGGTGCTGAGCCAACAAAATCTAAGGTTAGGATCATCAAACATTGCACAGATTATTTCAGAGTGACTTTCACCTCAACAGCTTATCTAAAAATGTTTTGACACTTCAAAGAGGGGGGTAGGCCTCAGTTTCCACTTCTTAGAAAGGCCTGTCTATGAGAAAGTACTGCTGAGTTTCTCTGAGCATTTAACTGGGCTTCCCCGTAGGGAATGTGTACAACTTGGAACTATGAAAGACCATGACCCGGAAGACCACATATATTGTCTCTCTGGAATACTTTACACCTTGTGGCTCTTTTCTATTCTAGACAGTCTTGTGAATTTGCAGTAAGAGGTAATGCAAAAGCCACCACCACAGCAACAAAAATCCCTCTTTTTCATCTCACCCCTGTAAGTCCACTATGGTACAGTTGTTAGAATGCACTGGCCCCAAAGATTTCCTCTATTAAGAGCTCTTGTAGTGAATGTAGTGGGTTTGCCATTGTCTATTCTAGCTTCAAGATCTGGTCTTAGGTCCTTTTTTCTTTTTGTGATAAACAAAATACAAAAACAAAAACCAAACCAGCAAACACAAAAACAAAAATAAAGTAACAGACACTGATTTATATATAAAGACAAATGCATATATGTGGATATAGATTTAGAATAATGGTTGTTAGCAATGAATGATGAGTAAGTGCAAAAATGCAAAAGATAGAAAAGAGGCCCTGTTGCCATGTGGGGCCCTTCCTCATTCCTAAGTCCATAACATGCAGTTATTGGCCAGTCTCTGTCCACCTGCAAAGCCCTGGGATCAGCTGAGACATAAATTCAATGGGTGGCCCTAATCTTTCCCATGAATGAGTGGATAAACGGCACTCAAGTGGACCACTGGGGGCCATAATAGGTTTACTGTGCTAAGCCATAAGGGTTTCTTGGAGAGTTACTCATAAGAAGCAATATTTAATAATGTCAAAAATGGACATAATGATAGAATAATAATATCAACAGTAGAAATAATGATGGAAATAAGACTTAAGAGTTACCTTTTATTGGACATCTGGTGTTTGTCTGAAAGTCCTCTGAACACTTTATGTGCACTCTCACAATTAATTCTCACAAGAACCCATTGAGAAAGAAGTCAGTAAGTGCCCATTATTGATCAAGAAATTGATGCTTGAGGAGGTTAACTCAAAACCCCAACTCCTACAGCTAGTAAGGATTTTATATTCCCAAACATACAATAAAGGGTAAATATTTCATAGAGTTAAAATGCCTTTGAGAAAACAGAGGTTTTCTGAATCCTCATCTCATGACGATTTGATCCAAGCACAGTGCAGCTCCAGCTTGGAAAAATAAAAGCTGTGATCAGAGAACTGTCTATGCAGACCAGGCCTAGTCCTTGAATCAGTTATGAAAATGACTGAATGATTTTCATGCATTTCTAAAACAAACTGCAGACATCCCAGGGAGGTATTTCAACACATCACCAACTTGGAAATGTCCACTGGGAGGAAGTCTCTGGCACGTATGATGAGCCAGCCATGGGCACAAGTCTCAGACTGATATGGGTTAATGCTAGACCTGGAGAGGCAGGGGGAAATGAACAGCCCCCTCAAGGTCTCCTTCCCCTTGAGCATATATGATTACTGCTGTGCACACCCACCCTGGCCCCACCCATCCCATCAAGGGATGGTTGTCTGTAACAAAGCCATGGATCTGAATGGGAAAACACTTATGTTCCAAGTGACAGAATTTCCAGAGAAGATGCTGAGGCTTCTGAATACTGCCTCTGCCTCTTTGATGTCCCTTGCAAGCCCTTCTTTTATTGCTGTAACACCGCATGTCCAAAAGAGAGTTCCTACTAAGGGAAGCAGGTCATACTAAGGGAAGACATACTAGCTCCCAAGTATGCTGCTCCACCAGTGTGCAATCTGAGCTGGTGCCTCCAACATGCTAAATAACTAAGGGAGAGCACAGAGCAAAGGCTTTGAGAGGAAAGGCTAGGCTGGGGGTGACGGGATCTTTTCCAGGGGGAAATGGTGATCACGTCTCAAGACTTAATGTGCCAGAGCCAGCAAATATCACTTTCATCTTGCATGACTCCTGTTGATGGGGCTAGGCCAGTTTGACATTTTTTATATTTTATTGTTTCAAATTATTTTTTATAGAACCCTGGCTATTCATATGACTGCTTATAGAGTAAATACAGGTGACTTTTAATGTAATGAGTAATCTACTCAGTTTTCAAGTGAAACAAATGGAAAGAAATATACTAAAGTGAAAATTGTACATTAAAATTGCTCAAACCTTTGCTGAGAAGGATAGCAATATTCATTTTTTTATTATAGCACTTTCACTTGAAATGGGGATTAGATGAACCAAGGCTTGGAGTGGAGCAGAGGTGGAGAACTTCAGGTCACACACGGAGGTAGTTCATGTTCCAAGCAACAATTTCCAGGAAAGTTGAGGCTTCTGATTACTGACTCTGTCTCTTTGGTATCCCTTGCCACCCCCTCTTTCTGCTGCAACACCCCATGGCCAACAGAGAGTTCTTACTAAGGGAAGCCCTTCGTACTAAGGGAAGACACAGGAGGTCTCCCCCACATGTCTGCTATGTGACAGGGGAGGTGGTGCTTTCAGTGTAAAAAAGTATTGACAGCAAGTAGTCAGACAGATTTGGCCACTGTGCTGGTCCTGGATATACAGTAGCCAGAAAAATATGTCCTTTGCCCCGACGGGTATCAGAGTCTCATTGCATAGAACTTTCAGAAGCAGAAAATTAATAAAATAGAGTAATAACTGTATGGTAAGTACTACAAGGGAGAAAAATGATGTACTGTAGGAGCCCTACAAAGGTCAACTTTTCCATCTGGAGGCAATGTGAAAGGCCAAGGAAGACTTCACAATGGACAATCAAATGAGAGTTTTGTATGCAGTTTGAGTAAATATTTAAGTGTGACTAGGACACAGGGTATGTGTAGGCAAGTTGTGGTGTGGTGGCTGTTGTGAGAAAAAGCTCGATAAACAGTCAAGCATGAGATTCTGGAAGGCTTTGTGCTCTAATGAATTTGAACTTGATTCTAGGGTAATGGAGAGCCATCAATGATTAGGTAAGATCTATTTATTTTTGCATTCATTCTTTAAATATTTACCATCTACTACTTTCTATTCAAGAAACATTTTCCTGAACACATACAGGCACTTGAGATAAAGCATAACAAACAAACAAATACAAAAAACATACAAACAAACCAAAATCAGACAGAGCACGTGCATTGGAGGGGCAGGAGGGGATTTTTAGGTACCGTGAGCAGGAAGGGTCTCACTGAGAAGGTGGCATTTGGGCAAAGATACGAAGGAGGTGAGGAGTAAACCGTAAGAATATTAGGAGGAGAACATTCTAGGCAAAGGGAAAAACCAGGGCAAAGGTCTGGAGGCAAGGAAATATCTGGTAAGTTTGAGGAACACCAAGGAAGCCCAAAGGGCTAGTGTGGAGACAAAGTTAAAGAGATGAACCTTGCAGTCCAGTGTGTGGGCTCTAGCTTTTACCCCAAGTCCAAAGGGAAGCCACAGTATTGTTCTGAGCCGAGACATGAAGTTCTTAGGCTTCTGGTTAAAAATAATTCCTAGGGGCTGGGACGGAGCAAGGACAGACACAGGAAACTAGTTAGGAGGCTAGTATAGTAACCCAGGAACTAAAAGTGATGGTGAGTTGGATTGTAATGGGAGCAGTAGGTATGGTCAGAAGTTGTAGTGAGACCCAGTACTTGCTGATGGATTGGAGGTGGTGTGCATGAACAGGTGAGGGGGCCAGAGAGTGACTTCATGTTTTTGGTTTGAGCACCTAAAATGGATTGTATCAGCCAAGCCCCATGGGGAAGACTGCA